TCTCCATGCACGGAGTGAATATGTTATTTTTTTTTTTACATTTTATTTACAATAAATTTTTATTAATATTTAATTTTAAAAATTTAAATATATAGGATATGGTTGATAGTTAATAGCGTGAGAATTAGGAGAAAGAGTATGGCGTGTCAGATTCAAAGCAAGAGAGAAATATTACAGTGGACAATGACGTATGACAAAATTCCTACAGTGTTTTTGAATATAATTTTTTCTATTGCCAAATCAGTTCCCAAACCGATTAAGTGTGAAAACGAGTGTGACAAAAATAAACAGTAAACCCTCATTTATGGTAGTAAATATTTAGATATATTTAATTTTTTAAATTAAATATTAATAAAAAATGTACTACAAATAAAAATTAAAAAAAAAGTGCATAAACCTCCGTGCACGAAGGTTTGCTAAATGTTTTTTTTTAAACTTTTTAAAATTAAATATTAATAAAAAGATTAAACTATCTAGAATGTAAAAAGTTACTTATAAGTAAAAAAATCACTTCAAGTTATTTAAAAGTGATAAAAAAATTATAATTGTAAAAGTTACTTATAAGTAAAAAAATATTAACTTCAACATTTTTAAATAAATATTTAGACATATTTAATTTTTTTAAATTAAATATTAATAAAAAATGCACTACTAATAAAAGTAAAAAAAAAAAAAATTGGATAAACCACCGTGCAGAGGTTTATGAAATTTTTTTTTTAACTTATATTTTTATGTTCATTTTCAGGCTCATTACAGGATATCAAACGAAATTGAAATATTACATTTTTAATATCATTTTGGAGTACTTGCGGCATAGTATTGCACGTCGTTAACGGTGCTCGAAACGGCTAATCGTAGCAAATGTTACGGGACGTCAAAATAGGCATTTTCAAACTATATTTCGAAATTTTTGATAATAAGCTAACTTTAAAAATTTATTGACGATTGTACGATAGTTGAATCGATAAATGTTTTACATTCTCTCGAAACTCATTTCAAGAACTATATCATAGACACATTGAATTATCTAAATGAATATCGAAAATAGTTAAACGGACATAAAACGTATGTATTAAAAAATAAGTATAAGTCGTTTTTCATTTTAAAAAAATCAATTATTTTATTACTATTTATTATTTTTTCGCAACAATTTTCTCAATACATCATTTTGCTCAAGAAAATTTATGTAGTATGATGTAAATTTTTTTCTCCATGTACGGAGTGAATATGTTTTTTTTTCTACATTTTATTTACAATAATGTTGTTTATTAATATAATTTTAAAATTTTAAATATATAATATATTGTTGATAGTTAATAGCGTGAGAATTATGAGAAAGAGTCCTACAATATTTTTGAATAGAATTTTTCCTGTTGCCAAACCAGTTTTCAAACCGGTTAAGTGTGACAAAAATGAACAGTAACCCCTCATTCTCTCTTTTATGATAGTGTAGATATAAAAGAGCGAAGGCATTGGCGAGACGCGTGTCGCAAATTTGTATTGCCCTGTACTTTTTTTTTTAATATTATGTTGGGTCATTGGAAGGAAGCATGCGATAGTCAGATTTCTCCTTTTTTTCACTCAATTTACCATTCCTCTATTACTCTTCTTCTTTCTCTTCCTTTCTTTTTCTTTCCAAAAATTCAAAAAATTGAAATCTCAAATTCGAGTTGCGTTACATTGGACGGGGTTCATCTGTGCTCCTTGTAAGTGAAAAATTTCTCTACTTGTTATTTATTTCTTGCATTAGAGTTCATTTTGTTTTATTGTTTACTTATCCAGTGTCAATGATAAGCAAGATAGCCTGGGCAACTTTAAATACCAAAATTGTGAGACATTACCAAGATTAGTTTTTTTATAATTATAAGAATTTTGAAAAATTTGGTTGTTTCTAGTTCACTTATATTCGAGTTGCAGTACATTGGTAACTTTAAAGACCAAAGTGGTCAGATATTACCAAGGTTAGCTTTTTAATAATTATAATGATTTTGAAAATTTTGGTCCTTTCTGGTTCACTTATATTCGAATTGCAGTACATTGGACGGGGTTCATACGCGCTCCTTGTAAGTGAAAAGTTTCTTTACTTATGATTTGTTTATCGAGTTAGAGTTCATTTTGTTTCATTATTTACTCATTTATAGTGTTAATGATAAGTAGGATTACCTGGGTAACTATAAAGACCAAAATGGTCAAATATTTCCAATGTTAGAGCCTACATGGAGACATTAGCTACATGAGAAATTCTCTCCATCCAGGACGGAGAAAATAGATAATCTCTTCATCTAGGATGGAGAAACTCTCCATTGTCTTCATCCAGGATTGAGAGATCTCTCTCCATCCTGGGCTAGCACGGAAAACAGAGCTACTGCTCCTTGCTGCGTAGAGTTCTTGCTCCGCCCATTGTGCTAGGTGGAGCCTTGCTCTGTATAGCTTGCACTTTCAAAATATGAGTCAAATTCATCATTTTAATATCTTTTAATATTTTCGGTGGTTTTGTATATATTTATCTAAAATCAGCCAACCTTACATAGACTTGTGTGTCAATTCAAATCAAACTAAATTATTAAATTCTCCAAAATTCCATCAATTCACCAAATTTTTTTTTTTAAAAAATCCATTTTCTCCATCCGGGATATAGAGAAAAACTTTCCATCCAAAACATATAAAACAAAAGAATATATATATATATATTATTTAATTAAAATTGAAAAAATTAAGTTTTATCATGAAGAGAAGAATTAAAAGAATTTTAAATCGAAAAAAAATATTTATAACATAAACAAAACAAATTAAAAAAAGGAAAAAAAAACAAAAAATAAAATCTCTGATTTCTTTCCATCCCACGAAGAGATTTTCTCCGTAAGACCTTGGTCCATCCTAGATGGAGTCCCACGGAGATGGAGAAATTTCTCTCTCCATGGGATGGAGAGAAATCGAAGATTTTATTTTTTTGTTTTTATTTTTTTGTTTTTCCTTATATATTTTTTGTTTTTTTAATTTGTTTTGCTCATATTATAAATAATTTTTTTGTATTTAAAATTATTTTTTATTATTTTCTCTTTATGATAAAATTTAATTTTTTAAATTTAATTAAATAATATTTATATATTCTTTATTTAATTTTCGTAACCTTCTTTTGTTTGATTAGTTTTGTTTTTATTGTATATTTTTGAAAATTGTTTTAAAATTTCTTTTTTCTTCATATTATAAATAAATTTTTTTTCGATTTAAAATTCTTGTTAATTCTTTTTGTTTTATGATAAAAACATAATTTTTTTAAATTTTAATTAAAAACTAATATTTGTTTTTCATTTTAATTATTTCAATTTAATTAAAAAACTTTATAATAATCTTTTTTTTTGTTTTTTTAATTCTATTTTGGCCTGCAATTCGATGAAATTTTTTTTATTTTTTTTAATTCTTTTCTATTTATGATAAAACTTAATTTTTTCAATTTTAATTAAACAACATTTATAGATTCTTTATTTAATTTTTGGTAACTTTATTTTGTTATTATTATATATTTTTCAAACATTTTTTTTAAAATTCTCTTTTTTCTTCATATTATAAATAATTTTTTTGTTCAATTTAAAATTCTTTTTAATTATTTTCATTTTATGATAGAACGTAATTTTTTTCAGTTTTAATTAAAATAATATTAAGATTTAATTAGGTCCAATGACAACAAAATCTAGTCCTTGGAAGAAGTTTGATACATGAAATTGCATTTAACATTTTAAGCTATAATTTAGGATTCTACATTGTGTTTTTCAACATGAAAAATCATTTTTAATATAATAGTGTAGCTATTGTTATGTTGTATATCTTGGTGATATTTAATTATTATAATCATAGTATGGATTAGAGTCAAAGCTTGACTGGTTAAATCATATTTTAGGCTTGGCTAATATATATAAAGAAATATATTCCGCATAAAAAAGTTTCCCACAAACTTTTGTACAGGAAAATATCTGGTACAAATATATGCAAATTTTCTAATGTTCATAAGAAGAATAAAAAATATACTGAGAAATTGACGAAAAATAAGTCAATTTCAACGAATTTATGAATACCTTTCAAATTTATAAATGAATTTTTCTAAAATTTACATACACTTATTTTAAACATTAACCAATTAACGTGTAGCACACGTTCACCCACTAGTATTAACGAAAGACTGCAGACTTTGTAAGGTAATGCCCCTTATGCTGCAAGAGGCATAAAAAAATATACAAAATAAGATTGAAACTAACTGAATCTAAAGAGATACTAATAATGCACGACTCTACTATTTTTTTTGGTGTTAATATGTATTTAACTATTATACTTGTAATTTATTCGTAGTTTTGAAAAGTTATGGAAATGTATTTACAATTTTTTTGTTATTTCACGTCTTCTTTTTATATTTAATTAAAGAGAATGACAAATTTGCCATTTAATTGCCAAAAAGGAAGTAACGACCAATTTTGCTACATAAAAGATTGCGATGGATTGTGCTGAAAAGGTTGATGATAGATTTCCACGTCTTCGATTACTCACTGAAGTTTCAAATGTCGAGTTTTGATAACTGAATTTTGAAAAATATTGTACATTATTCACTGAAATTTGAAAAATGTTATACATTACTGACTACAAATTTGATATTTTTCAAAGTTTAACAGTTACGCTAGTGAATAACGTACGGTATATTCTAACGTTTAACAGCCAAAACTCGACATTTTAAATTTCAATGAGAAATCTAAGACATAGACATAAGTTTAATGAGTAATTGAAGATATTACTTAAATTTAGTGATCAAAACTCGATATTTTAAACTTTAGTAACCAATCAAAGATATGGACTAAAGTTCACTGATCATTGGAACAATTAACTCAGTAAAAGCATGAAGAACTAAAATGAAATTTCACTCAAAATTTGGTGACCTCCATTGTAATTTGAACCTATAAAAAATATCTCACCAAAAGTCTCGCTCCCTCTCCCTATAATAGTTTGTTTTCTATTGATCAAAAAATTCATTTTATTCTTGGATCTAAAAATAATGGCGGAGGATAAGTACAATCTGAAAAATCCAGCGGTGAAGAGGATTTTGCAGGAGGTCAAAGAGATGCATTCCAATCCTTCCGATGATTTTATGAGCCTACCTCTCGAGGTTTATTTTTAGAATAAATTTTAATTCAGTTACCTAAACCGCTCATGTAATTGATTTTTTTTTTATTTAAAAACAATTTCAATTCCGTTTCCTAAAGCTGACTTCAATTACATTTCCTTAAATTCCTTTTTAATTGATTTGTTTTGAATGGAATTCAGTTAATTGTCTGCTGTCGAAGATATTTATGATTTTATTAGGGGTTTTATATTAAAAAATAATTTCCATTTCATACCTAATATGCCTCTTTAATTGGTTTATATATAATTGTATTCAGCTAAATTTCTGTAATGGAAAATATTTCTGATTTATTTGAGGCGGTTTATTTAAAAAATAATTTTAATTCCATTTTCTAAACTGCCTTCTTTATTTGTTTTATTCGTGATCATGTTCAGCTAATTTTTGTGATGGAAAATATCTCTGAATTTTTTTTAGAGGGTTTCTTGATGGATATGAACGATGATTTTTATTTTTGAGATGTAGTGGAATCCCTAATATGACGTTGGAAACATTTATTTTCATCTATTATTTTTCCAGTGTTCTTATTGATCGTATTCACCATAAATGTGAATATGGGATGTGTTCTTTTTTAATTTCTTATCTGAAATAGTGAAATTTATTTTGTATTTTGGGATTACGAGTAAGCGAATGGAATTATCTAATGTTGAAATTCTCTTGGTTTGACTATTGTGTATGGTTTTTACTTATTAACATATGTGATAGCTCAAGTTATTTACTCTTTTCTCTTAACTTGTGTGAAAATTTTTAATTTTGGAAACTTAAAACCATGTAGAAGATTCATTCCTTTCTGTTTGATTTTACTGGTGAACACGGTGCAGCCTCGTGTCTAAATTATAAAATGGAATGCTGTGCTGTTTTTGTCATGTTGAAGCAAGTAATTTTACTCTCAATTGGCTTCTTTATTTTTATTTTTTATATTTTTTGTGAATTATCCTACAACAGTCTGAACTCAGGCCCCCAAAATTTTGTTTTCAGGAAAACATATTTGAATGGCAATTTGCAATTAGGGGACCCCAAGATTCGGAGTTTGAGGGAGGAATATATCATGGAAGGATCCAGTTGCCTGCTGAATATCCTTTCAAGCCTCCTTCATTTTTGCTGTTGACGGTAATGCTCCATTTCTCAAGTAGCTCACTGTTTGAGTTCTTGAAATTTCAACAAGGATGTGTAGTAAAAGATTATAGTTTACTCCTTCTAAGAGTTACTATGAAATTTGAATTGGTATTGACAGAAATTTGCTAATGTAATTTGGATTTCCCATTTACAGCCAAATGGTCGATTTGAAACTCAAACCAAGATATGCTTGAGCATTTCAAGTCATCATCCTGAGCACTGGCAACCATCTTGGAGTGGTAACTTTTCTTCTCAAGCTATTTTCATGTTTCCAGTGATTCTAGCCCATTACTAGATAAAGTTATCTGTTTTATCTTATTACGAGTTGTATTTAAATCATCTCTATGTCTTGTGTATGATATTGCATATGCATTTGCGGCATCTTCATAACTCCTACAAGCAACTATACTAAGCCCATGTTTGGTCCCCACTTTCTCAAACTCATTTTCAACCACGCATTTTTATAAGACTTACAATTTTTGTCAACTTTTCAAACCACACATTTCATTACTTTTATCAAAATCTACTATAAATATAAATTTTAGCTAAAACAAACTGAGGCTAAATGTTGAGAGAATTGTAATATAAATGAGCGTAAAATATCCGATGAGAGTATGTTGGACTTATTGTGCCTTTTTGCATTTACAACACTCTCGAAGAGGTCATCTATTTAGAGTCCTGTCACGATTATGTAAAATTTTTCAAGCAATGTGTTAGAGACTGTTGATTCTCACAGTATTGGGTACTATTTTGCAGTTTTTACATACTTAAAACTATAACATCAAAGTTACTTGATCTCAAGAGGGAATGGATAGGTTTTTAAGTTATTCTACAAGAATAAGAGAGGGAGAGAAATTAAGACATGGGCTGCTTTAAAATCAAGTACTAGAATGGAGCATTTTCTTTGCCATCATCTTTGCTATTAACTAATAATTGCTCCGTGAGTACACCTATTTTTATTCTCTATGTGATAAACAAAAATTTATGATACCAGTCAATATGGATGGTTTTGGCAGTCCGGACTGCTTTGGTAGCACTAATTGCATTTCTGCCCACCAACCCAAACGGTGCACTGGGATCATTGGACTATCCAAAGGAAGTAAGGCGGTCTCTAGCAATTAAATCTCGTGAAGCTGGCCCAAAGTTTGGGTCTTCTGAACGCCAAAAGCTTATTGACGAGGTTTGTCATCTCCTACTTTTCCTGAATTTATACATTATATGCGAGCCCAATACTAATTATTTTTTGTACAGATTCACGAATATATGCTAAGCAGGGTACCTGCAATTCCTCAAGAAAACACTACAAAGGCTTCTGAAGTTCCAAATGATAACAATGAGCGTGAAAATCAAGAGAGTGCTCGAAATGCATCTCCCGAGATCATTGAGGCAGTAGATGATGGTAACGTTGAAGAAGCAAATGAAACATCTTCAAATGGAAATACTGTTCAGACATCACAACCTGCACCTGTAGCGTACTCAACCGAGCAGCAGCTGGTGCATAAGCCAGAAGCCGGACATTCCAAGCTGGCTGATGACCGCTTCTTCACATTTGCAGCTGTTGGGCTTACCGTTGCCATAGTTGTTCTTCTTTTGAAGAAGTTTATGAAAGCTAACGGGTATGGAACTGTCTTCATGGATGAGTCGTGAACCACGGTAAATAGGAGTTGAATATGCATAAAGGTAGTAGATGTAAAAAAGTGGAAGGGATATTCATACTCCAAATTGCGTTGAGAACGAAAAATTATGTAATCTAGGTTATTCAGTATCTTATTTCATTTTAATTTCAAAACATGGACACGTATATGTATAACTTTCTTTTTTCGACTGAGAAATATTGTAGAGGATGAAAAACGATGTATTCATGAAGTACAAAAACTAAAGATCTTATAATCACTTCTCACAATTATGTATCCTGTTTGTATCCATTAAACTGGTCGAAATATTGTAGGTTGAATATAAGTTAAGTTGAACTTGATGGACATCGACATCAATTGCATCGCCTTTTTCTAGTATAAATATATACTACATATAGCTTTTCTACTGCCCACATCAACATTAACCAAAGCTAGAAAACACTTTCTCAAAAAAAAAAGGTTGAACCTCAACTTTGAGGGGGCCCATCGTCCCACCCCTAGAACTTTGTGAGGGAGGTAAATCGTGATATGTGTCCTAGCAGGTCAGGGAACAAGAGTTGTATGTACACTGCGCCTACAAAAAGTCTAATTTCATGTTTCAGAAATCGAACCCACATACTGCGGTTACCAGCAAGGCGTGAGATAACCTCACTCCTGTCCTTTACACCACTAGGCTATGTTCCGGGGAGCTAGCTAGAAAACACTTTTTCAGAACCTGTCCGAGCCAAATTGTAACGAATCGACACACGTTTCTACACAATTTTGGAAACAAAAAGACATTTTAGTTGTGCTCAAAACTTGGAAGGTTATGAATCAATTGATAGGTCAATACTAATGTCTTGATTTCAAGTGAGGTGTGGGAAAATCCAGAGAAAATCCATTTGTACGTAAATTAGGGTTGGGCAAATCTTCCGAACCGAACCGACCGAATCGAACTGGAACCGAACCTGACGGTTCTTGTCGAATTAAATACCCGAACGGATATTTGAATTAAGAACCGACGGGTACGATTCGATTCCCGATTTTAGACTAAGAACCAAAGAACCGAATCTTTCTAATTTTTTTTTATATTGAGTAAATCAAATTATTTTAATTTTAATTTTTTCTAAACAAATTAACAATTTCTAAATCCAAAATTTTGGCCCAATGATTTGTTTCATTTCTAATTTTTTAATTTTTGGCTCAATTACCCATTTTATTGTTTCATTTCTTAGCCCAACAAGATCCAATCTACTAAATAACCATAAACACCTATACTAAAGTGCATAACGTTGTCTCGACTCTCACGCTCACTCTTAGCCCAACAAGATCCAATCCACTAAATATTGGTATTGGATATAGCTCAATAATACTGTTGTGCTTCACAGATTGATCCCAAGCCAAGTTCTAACTTCCACATTTTCTATAGAAATTTTTGTAGCTTGTCAAAGGGGTCGAGAGTGAAAAAAGAGAGAACTAAATGACGATAAAATAAATTTTTTTCTTTCTTTTTTATCCTGATGCAAAACGATGCCGAAAGAAATCATTGGGATTCCAATTTCCAACTCACTCGTTTACAGAAGAAATAAAAATTATAGATGGTTTCACTGAAAAATGGCGTCCTTTAGGTCGAAAATGTGAACAGTAGATTCTAATAGTATAACTTCCTTCTTATTTCCTACAAGCTTCTTGATGATGTTCTCTCACTAATGAGAACAGCTCAAAATTTTGTACATCTTTAACTAAACAATGAAAATAAATAAATCCTAGAATTGCAAATTTAAACACCATTATGCAATTTTCATGAAGTGGATTTGTTCATCGATCAATCTTGAAGGAGGGAAGCAATGGCAAGAGAATTGCTAGTCATGTTAGTCAACTTCTCGGCATAATCCGATAGAGGAGAAGTCGTGCCCGTACTGGAGAGTTCGTCTTCACAGTCTCCGACATCTGTTATAACGGCGCTGAGCATGGTATTAAGAGTTCCTATATCACGTTCAGTTAAGGCATTCATTGCTTTCTCAAAATTGGACATAGCTGCGTCGTAACTGTCTTTACAATCGCGAATAATGGAGGCTACCTGAGGAGGAACTCCGGGCATGTTGGAAATTTTTTTCGCCATGGACAATGCGAACTTTGTTAATTCGAAGCAAGCTTTAACTGACACTTCAAGCACGGAAAATGGATCAGTTTTGTCATCTAAGAGGGGTACGACAGTGCCAAGACAGAGAGAAGGGTGGTCAGTTGAATCACAAATTTTCATGACTTTAGGATCGACATTTTTCGGTATGAAGCTTGTTGACGCAGCAGGCGCTGGTGCCTCAAGCTCGCTTGGTAAAATTGAATTCGACGGGGCATTGGATCCCGACGGAGGGAACGAGACGTAATTCAAAGGAGAGTTCGCGGTTGGGATCGACGCAGGGCTTGGTGATGACACATGTTGCAAGTTTGGAGAGTTTGCAATTGGAACCGATGCGGGGCCAGGAGAGGACAAGGGTTGCAAGTTTGGAGCCATATCTGGAGACAATGTCACGTCGATTGCATCGCGGTGTGCATGTGTATGTGGGGTTAAATATAAGAATAAGACGACCGCTAAGACGATAAAGAACAGTCTGTAACAATCATGAGTCTCCATTTTGATTTTGCAAACACGGGAAAGCATACAACTTGTTTGAGTTTGAGAATGATACGGTA